CCCCGGGGGCGTCTCCTCCTGCGCTGCCGGAGTGTCCCAGTCACGGGGTTCTGCGGGTAGGTAGGTGTGCGGCAGGTGGGCCATCAGGAGTCCCGCGGCCCCCAAACTCATGACCTCCCACGGCGCTCACTCTGGGCCGGCGGCCAAGCCCCACGGAAGCCCGGGCCAACAGCCCGCAGGCAAACGGCCTCTCCGCCGTCGTTCATACCCGACTACACAGCCCTCCGCGACATGACTACCCCCACCCAGAGAGTCATCTCTACACTAACGGGGTCTTTCCTGTCCTTGGGGGGAGGCTAACGTCTGAATGCTGTGCTGACCACACAGGAAGGCTGTGGGTAAAGCGCCCGGGCGAGGACACCTGTCCAGCCCTCGGGAACCTCAGGGCGGTGGCAGCTGGTGTCTAGGCCTCAAGCCTGAACGTGCGGGGCCCCTCCCTGCTTCTCAAGAAACAGCTGCCCCCACACTGGAAGGAAGCTGGTGCCGTGCACGAGCGCGACGCGGGTGGGGGCGGCGGGCATTTGCTGAGGGTGGTCACGAGGGCCGCTCTGGGGCGGGCAGTCCACCCTGCAGGGCAGGCCCAGGGCACGCGAGCCCCCCAAGCGGCCCCCCAGACCCCGCTCCCCCTGCAGTGCCTAAAGAGCGAGGAGCCACGGCAGTTCCACCCTCACATCCAAGTCCTTTGGGGCCTTTCTGCCAGTCTGTCATCCGCTCGGCAGCCCTTCCCACCCAGACCCGACGGGGCCCTACGGTGCCCGACGGTGCTCCGCGGCGACATGAGCGTGTGCCGGGCGGGACCTGCCTCGGTTTGGGAAAAACCTCTCAACCTCCGCTTAGAACTCTTTGCTGATTCCTGCAGCTCTGGCCCCAAACACCTCCCCTCTAAAGGCTGTGCCCCCTTGTCCCCAGCTGCCCCCCCAAATCCCTGAGCCCCCCCATCAGCACTCCTACCTACGCACCTCTGGTCCTGCCATGCCCCCTCCCCCTCCCCCCTGCGGTCCACACCAGCCCAGCCTTCACACCTCAGCAAGTCTGTCCCACCCTCCCTGTGAAGGATCCGGTCCCGTCACACACGCTCCACCTCGTTCCTCCCACGCTGCAAGGCATCCGTCGCTGTGACCCACATCTGTCTCCCCATGCGGCAGAGAGTCCCGCCAGGCAGGAACTGGCTCATGTCGGTCCGCCTGTAGGCCCAGGGCCTCAGCTCAGGCTGAGAGTGAGAAGGGCCACAGGCCCCCCCAAAACATGTGGGTCCATGACCCACCACCCAGGGTTACACCCAGCCCACTGCCCGTCAACGTGCCCACAGGCCAGGAACGGTTTTTACGCTGTTAAGTGGTTGGAAAAAAATGGAAAGAACAGTGTTTTGCGCCATGTGAAAATCACGTGAAATTCCAGTTTCGGAAACACTGCTACGCTCACCGCACGGCAGCTCCTGCACTGTGACAGCAGAGCAGTCGGAGGCGGTGCGATGGCGAGACCCGAAGTACCTCCCGCAGGGCCCTGACGTCCAACACTCACCGCAGCTACACCAGGGTCCTCGGCGTCCAGCCAGGGCATGACCCAGCACAGCCGGAAGATCAGGACCCTCTGTGCTCCGGGATGCCTGCTGGGCTCAGTGGGCACTCGCGCACGCCCCGAGGGGAAAGGGTCCCCGGATACACTGGAGGGTCTGGCTCACCATCCCAGAGGGTCAAAGCCCGTGCTTACTGGGCGGCCCCCGTCTGGGCCCTCCAGACTGTGCAGAAGCCGCCTGGAAGCTGGGGATCGAACTCCAGGAAGTGGGGTGCAGGCCTCGGCGAAAGGCGCTCTGGGCCAGGCAGCAGGACCGGGCAAGCCGCTGGGAGTGCGCATGAAGGACACTGCGCGGCCTTTCGGGACAGCCCCGGCTGGGACGCCCAACAGACCCACGAGGAGCGGAGTCAGGACAACGGGTGGGAGGACTTCTCAGAGGACCGAAGTGGGAGCCTTCGGGCGGGAGCGCTGGGCAGGACCCCGGCGCTGGCAGGCAGAGCTCCCCGCCCTCTTCTGTGGGGGACACGCAACGATTACCCAAGCTAAGAAATGTTTGTCATTAAGCTGGGAGCAGTTTCAACAGCAGAGAATGTGCACCCTTCCCACAGAAGTGGGCCCAGACTCCCCACGTGACTGGGTAGTTACGGCTCAGAAGCCGCCCCACGTCCATCTGAGCACCAAACGGCCCCAGGGAAGGGGTGGAGGGCGGGGAGTTCATCAGCCGGCTGTCCCGGGGCTGCAGAGGCCCAGCAGGGGAGGAGGGTTCCCGCTCACGCTCCCCCCTACCCCAGCAGTCACGCGCCAGCCTCACTCCAGAACCGTCCCCTGCTCCTCACACCCCTGGATCGCCCAGTGGGCCGCCTCCCACCCCCGTTCGGGCGGCGCTGGCCTCGGCCTGACCACCCTGGTGGCTTCTGAGTGTTCTGATGCTTGTTTACTGCGTGGAAAGGACAGAAATCAAATGCAGTGAAGGGAAAAGCACCAAACCTTCTCTCATCCCAAACCACGGATGTTCCCACGCCGGTACCTACCCCGCACCTCGGGCACTCGCTGTGCCCGGAGTCCCAACCTTCAGAGGGGTCTTGTCCTGGCTTCCTGACCTCAGGCACATCCCAGCCCCTCTCTGGCCTCCGTCCCCTCGTCTGCAAAACACGGCGCTGGACCAGATCCCCGAGCTCAGCAACAGAGAAGCTTAGCAAGAAATTCCAATATCAGCTTTCATTAAGACTCAAGTCGTAAAACGTTTCGAAAAAGCCCAGCGAAACCACAGCTGTGCCAGAGGCGGCCGGGAGACGCTTCAAAACAAGAAACACATGATAATGCAAGAAAGAAACGGCTGGTTTTTCTTTTCTTTATAAGTCATCTGCCCAGGGATGTGGTATCTGTAAAATGATGTGCGACCAGCTGAAGCCTGAGCTGGGCCTAGTCCCTCGCTATGCTAAGACCCTGCTGCAAATCAGGAGCTCCCCTGGCCGAGGAGCCCTTGAGCCAAGCATTAACGCTTACAGGACCTGACAGGTGACAAGGAAGGTAAACAGCTGACCCCCACCTCTACCACCACGCAAGTCTTACTCCCGCGGCTCAAAAGGGACGCCCTACACCAAAATGCATCCTCTCAGAGTGTGCCCCTGCTCTGGACCCCGCCATCTCCTCAGCTCCCTTCTTCTGAAAAGCTCTGCCGGTGCTCCCATTCCCAGTGTTTCTGCAAAGCAGACCCTCAGCCTCGGGCATCCCGTGTTACCCCGTGACACTCAACTTCCCGTGTTCGTCACTCAGGACTCCACATGAACACGGATTTCCTTTTTAAAAAATATTCTGAACCTACAAGTAGATGGACGGAATGCTAGAAAGCGCCCTGGGGCACCCACCACCCAGTCCTAGAAATAAACACTTGCAAACACACAGGACACCCGCAGGACCCACTCCTGCTGCCCGTCTTCCTACGCAGCAAGTCCATCCTAAATCCAGGGCTCATCACTCCACGCGACTCCCCACTCACCACACGGCACAGACCATGGCGGGGCCTTCTCGACACTTCCGTCCTTGGTGCCGTCCACAGGCAATCCCCCTGTCCCGTCTCCTTGCCCCGTTTTCTGCGCGTCTGCCGTGTGGACAGCGCCAGCGGTCATCCCTTCAGGCTCTCGGCTGTATAGACACTCCGTTACTCGGCTGTGCCACGTACTGGGCCACAGATGCTCCTGGTCATTTCGCACAAGGGCCTACGCCATGCCAGACAGTCCCGCACTTCCAGACTGCTCACAACCCCCTAACAAGGAAGGCGAGCGTCCCCCTAGACCAGAGGGCGCTGGGACACACAGGGGTGGGAGCTGGCAGACCCAGGCGAGCTCAGGCCCACGGGGCTCTCCCGCCACCGTCCCCGCCCGATCCTCCAGGCCCCGTGGGGGTCATGCCTCCACAACTCACATTTCTGCCCATGAGACGACGGACAGACGGCTCCAAAGTCGGCTGAGAGAACCTGAAACAGGATGCTCCATTTTCTTTTTTAACAAACAATTCCACAGGAAATCCATCTGACACACAGGGCCTGCACGCACAGTGAGGACAAGCCTCTCTCTGGCAGGAGTCCCTGTGCGCTCCCTGGAGTCATTCCCAAGTTTACACCAACTGTTTCCAAGTCAGCCGGAGTCCTAGTGCACCCTGCAGAAGCAGGCTGTCTGCACCCACCCAGAGAGAGCACGGAGGGGCCGGAAAGGACCCGGGAATCACAGTGGGCCTGAGTGGCAGCGGCTGAGCTGGCCAGGCTTGTAAGAGTAACCATGCTCGGGGAGGTCCGGGAGACCGTGCAGGGCTCAGAGGACTGAGGGAAGTAGGCACACCCACTGTGCTCCGCACTTGGCCTGGAGCGCCGCAGCCCAGCCCAGCCTGAGGACCCGGGTGGGGGCGCCCAGCAGCCAGGCAGGGAGCGAGGCCAGAAGAGAGGTGTGAGCTCCAGCGCCAGGGGGGCCCCAAGGCCAGGGGAGGCGCGGGGCACCGGACCACGACTGGTAACTCTAGCCCCGGCCCCTCCGCCGGATGTCCCACGCGGGGTTTCTGTGCGACAGGACGGAGGACGCCTCGCACGGGCCAGGCAGACCTGGCGGGAGCAGCCCCCTCCCACGTCCCCCAGCAAAGCAAGAAGCAGGAGAACAGGCTCGGCCGCTTCCAGGCTGCGCGACCGTCGCCGACGCCCCTGCCCCGCGCGGCGCGCACTGCAGGCGACCACCGGTGGGGGCCATGAAGCTCACCCCGCCACCGGTCCAGGGTCAGCCCGCCCCTCCCCCAGCCCGAAGCGGCAGCGGAAGCACCAAGGGGCCCGGCGCTCGGCAGGGCCAGAAGCCCCCGGGCGCGAGGGGTCGCGCGGGGCGTCCGCGTCGCGCGTTGGGGAGCCCAGGTGAGGGGCGGGCGCGGGGGCCGGAGCGCGCCGGGGAGAAGCGGGGAGGGGGGCGCCGGGGTGGGGGGGCGCCGGGCGCGGGCTCCGCTCCCACCTTGAGCACGGTGACGGCGCCCGCGCTGTGCACCTGGAAGTGCGCGGGCGGCTCGGCGCCGGGCTCGGCCGCCTCGTCGGGGCCCTGGTAGCTGAAGCAGGCGTCCGCGATGTCCAGGTGGCCGAGCGGCAGCGCGTCCTGCGGGCTCTTGAAGTAGTAGAGGTAGCAGCGGCGCGCGTCGAACACGAACCAGCGGCTGCGGTAGCCGCGCAGCGGGCCCTTGCCCGACAGCTTCTGCAGGTATCCGCACAGCCGCGCCGGCTCCCGCGCCCCCGCCGCGCCCTCCCGCTCCTCCTCGTCGGCCCGCGCCCCGGGCCCCGGCATCGCCGCCACCGCCGCCCCGCCGCCCCGGCCCTGCGCGCCCCCGCGCCGCCCGCGCCCCCGCGCCACCCCCGCGCGCCCCGCCCCGCCCCGCCCCGCCCCGCCGCTGCGTACGGCCCGCAGCCGCGCAAGGCAGCCTGGGACTTGTAGTCCCGCCGTCACGGCGCGACCCTCGGGGCGCTCCGGCTCCGCGCACCTGCCGCGCGAGGCCCGCAGCACCTGTGCCGCGCGCCCTCCGGGAGGGACGCGAGGGACGCGCCGCGGACGGCCCGGCAGCGGCCACGACCGCGCGAAACTGGCCGTAGTCCGAGGAAGCGCGAGGAAGGACGGGCCGAGCCAGCCGCGACCACGTGGGCCCAGGGCCGCGGCGCAGAGAGGAACGCGCGGGGGGACCCGGACCGCGCACGGTTTCACCGGTGCGGGGGATCGGGAAGGCAGACTCAGCAACACAGCGGAAGCCGGAGCTTCGGGGCGGGGAAGAGGCGCGCCCTGGCCGACGGCGGGAGGTCCGGGCCTGCAGGGGCGCGGCGCGGGGGTCCGCGGAGCAGGTGTAGCTCCGAGCGGGACCTGCCGGGCAGCCGCCCCGCCGACCCCTGCGTCCGACCCCTGGACCTGATGGGACGCCGAGTGCGGACTGCGGCTCCGCGGAAGGACGGAGAGAAGGTTCTGGCTTCGCTTCAAGGGCCAGATCAAAGCAAACACCCCTCTTCCTTCTGCGTGTCCTCACCGGACTCGTGACAGGACACCAGGGAAGCTGGAAGGCCTAGTTTTCTGAGATGGACAGGGCACCGAACGAGTCGCCCACTCAGACACGCGGGCCGAGTGAGCCCCCCTGGCCCAGCCAGCCACACATGAGCGCGGGGTCCGCTGACCCTCGGACATCAGCAGTCTCGCAGGTGGCCACAGCGCGGCTACCCCACCTTCATGTCCCGGGTGCTCTTTGAGCACCAAACACACGGTGTGGAGGGTGGGCTCTGGAGTCAGGCAAATGGGATTCGTCTGGGAGCTCTGCCACTCTCTAGAGCTGTGACCTTGGGTAGGTCATTTGACCTCCCTGAGCTTCAGCCTCTTCATCTGTAGAATGAGATCATACAGCTCGTACTTTTGTTCCTGTGAGGTTTACAGGTGCAGTGCTCGGCACTCCGACCAGTCCTGTACAGTTAACACAGATGTCCTCAGCCGGTAGCTTTGGGGGTGGGGGGCTGAATCCAGCAGTGGCCCAGCCCCCACACGGGGAGGACCCGAGAGCGCCCTGCAGGAGTGGGGCGGGCTGCCCCCCAGAGAGAGGAAACCAAGCTGGATCTGCGCCTTGCCCTGTGGGTGAGAGGGGCAGTGACTAACTAGCTTGCAGGGTGAGGCAGCCGGGGTGGGATGTGACCGGGAAATCCCATGGAAAGGGGACCGGCTGGGAGCACTGGATCTGTGTAGCCGCAGCTCTGTGCACAGGAGGCCAGGGAGGAGGGGGGACAGCCACAGTCCTCAGCTCTGTGAGCCAGGTGTGCAAAAGTGGGGGTGGCCGTGGCCTGTGGTCCCAGAGGACAGAACTGAGCCCAGATACACCTTGCAGAGACTGAGGTCTGCTAAGTGTCAGGAAGACACAGGGCTGAGCCCCCAGCCTGGGCAGATGGGACTGGACAAGGGACCGCTACCGTTCCTCAGCAGCTGCTGTCTGTGCTTCTCAGCGGAAAGCTGGGCCCCCAGCCTGACCATCCTGCACCAGAGCCCGCTGTCCCTTCCGGCCACCCCTGGCAAGGGAGGAGGCTGCCTCTGCCCCCGGCTTCCTTGGGCCGGGCCACTTCCCAAATCATATCCAACGCATTAAAATGCCCCACATTCTACGGTAAACATTTACATTCTACGGTAAACATTGCTCTAAAAATGCTTGAAGGCATTTGTATAATCACGATGCCAGTATTTTCTGACTGTGAGGAATTCATTTTAATTTATGTCTGGTTGACAGTTTCTTGGCAATCATCATGTCTGTGTGGGCACCCTGGCCGAGTGAGAGAAATCCAGCCCACGCATTGTTTTCAAAGGGAGTGACATTTCTTATTGAAGTTTATTTATTTCTGAGTGACCTGTACGCCCCACGTGGGGCTCCAATTCACGACCCCAAGGTCAGGAGTCGCACACTCTGCTGACCAAGCCAGCCGCGTCCCCTAACAGGACTGACGTTTTTAGGATTACTGTGACATTGACATAACGGTACCTCTTGCAGACATTTGATTCAATGGGTATTAATGTGGATTTTGCTTTTCTCTTGGAGCCCCAGTTTATCTGTTTTAGGCTACAGACATTTTGTCGGCCCCTTGAGAGCTGGCCGAGGCACCGGGCCTGCAGAGTCTACAGAACAGACCATCCTGACCAGGCCGGGAATGTGGCCCCCGCTGTCCTGGGACCCCAGCAAGCCGGACAAAGTGGCCACAACCTCTCAGCAAAGTCCCTGTCCCTGCAGCCCAGCCAAGTAGAAGTGGCCGAGAATTCAGGACCCACCCGACCCCCTCCTGACCCCCCAGACCTCTCCCAGGCCACCAGCCCTGTCCATTCCCTCAACCAAGACACTTTTTTCCTGAAACAAACCCTGCATTGTGTCACACCGGGGTCGCCATGCCCGAAGGGGCTACAGTACAGCCCTTATCTCAGCTCCTGCTGCCCTTCCCCCACCCTCTGTTTGGGCAAGTTCAGTCAGTTTATGTAAAATGCTGAACAAACGCAAGTTCAGTTCCCGTCCTTTCCAGGCAGGTCCCCTGCTCAAGGCCGTCGTACACGGGAACTCTGCCGGCTCCTGGGTCCTCCCTCGTGGCCCTTCCTCCGTGGCTCAGGTCCCCAAATCTCCTAGCTGAACGTCCGCGTCCTGTGGCCAGGGTCCAGCCTGTGTAGTCCCCCCTCCCCATGTGCTTGGGGCTGCAGGGTCTGCCCCCTCTAGCCTCTTGGAGCCCAGTGACCAGAAGGAAGTGGCCAACCCAGGAGGAAGTGGCTGCTGTTTACCCAAAAGGGGAAATTTGGGCAGTGAGCGTGCTCCCACATGGCCAACCTCTGGGCAAGCCCCAGGGACACAGAGCCAGTGACTCATCCCGGGCCAGTTTCCCTCAAGAGGAATGGGGTGAGAAGCCTGGCCACGCGCAGCCCCTATGCCTCTCAGACCCCTGGGGACAAGCCTGCCAGGTCACTGTTATTGACACAGCAGGAGCCCCGCAGTTCTGCGGGGAGTGCAGAGAGGAGAGACCTCACTGCCTGCTGTGCTGTGTGTTCTCAGACTTGTCTGTGCCCTCTCTGGGCTGCCGTTTCCCACCTGTACTGCCAGGGGCTGGGTGGCCAGCTGAGCCCCGTGGGCCCATGGGCCTTCGTCCTGCAGCTCCTGGGACCAGTGGACACTCTTCTTTCCAGCTTCTTGAGTGTTTCAGGCATCACAGCCAACCGATCCCTCCCTTCTGGGCTCTCTTCCATCCTGCCCTGTGGTCAGTGTAGGCATTACCCCGGGGGGTTACAGGTCTGCGTGTTCCCTGGGCCCTAACCACAGCTCCCCCTCCCCCCCGCCGCCCTGAGAGATGGCGGCGATGGAGCCCTCCTGTGCCTGAAGCAGAGAGCACGGGATCCTGAGGTCAGGCACAGGGGGATCTCGGGGATCTCAGGAGGACCTTGCTGCCCCCAAAGCATGTGTGGAGGAAACTGGCCTGGTAGGGAGGGGATTGCAGTTCAGGGCACAGTGCTGGAGAGGGAACCGAGGGAGCGGGGCCGGCGGCAGGGCCCAGGGAGCAGCCCCACGGGGAGGCCTCACCACGGGCTCTGGGGAGACGGCCGTCCACGTGCACGTCCACACAGCCCCGCACCGCACCGTGCCTCCTGCCCTGCAGGGTGGTGGGAGGGAAGGGAGAGGGCCTGTGACTCCAGCTGTGCTGCCCGCTGCAGGAAGCTCGGCAGGCAGGGGCGGCTGCGGAGAGGAACCCCAAACCCCTCCCCCACCCCAGCCCCACGGACCCTCTCTCGGCCTGGCTGTGTGGACTCTGGCTTCCAGAAAGCCTAGTTTCCCTACCAAATGGGCAGGCAAATCTCCACACCTTGTGATTGCCTTTCCTAGAGGGAGGTCCCCAAGATGCTGGCCACTTTCCCAGCCCCAGGGGCCAGGGCTCCAAGGCTCCGACCGGCAGAGGCCTGGCTGCCCCAGGGAGCTGATGGAGGGCAGAGGGTGGGCAGAGGAGGCCTGCACCGGAGTGAGGGGAGCCCCGCAGCCCAGGAGCAGTTGAGGCCTGGGCCCTGGGGTGGGCAGTGGGACTGCAGGGCCAGATGCCCCGGGTCCTCTCTGTTCCCTGTCCTGTTTCTCAGCCTGGCTCTGTGCCCAGGACAGCAGCCCACCTGCCTTCAGGGTTCCCCCCACCCCGGGGCCCCCTGTTCGCAGGCTTCCCCCTTCGCAGCCCCCCTGCGAGGCCCATGAGGGAGGTGGGGGGAGAGGGCCTCCTGGTTGGGCGAAGGGGTCTCCAAAAGGGGTAAGAGGTGCTGACTTAGGCCGAGCAATGAGGGGAGCAGGGCTGGGGGTTTCCCGAGGGAGGGGTAGGGACAGAAGGACACCCAGCAAGGGCCCACTTGGGGTCTGTTTTGGAGTGCGTTTGGAAGATAAGGTACAGAACTGGCGTGGCAGGGAAATGCGCACCCCCCCCCGGGGGGGGGGAAGGGTAGAGGCAAAGCTGCGGTTCCGCTGACAGGGGCGGGGAGAGGGGCGGGCAGGGGAGGCCTGGCCCTGTGTCCTGCTCAGTCCGGACCAGGCCAGGCCTTCCCGGTCCTGGGTCTGTTTCACACCTCTGCGGTCACCGAGCCTGGGACAGGGAGGGGAGGAAACGGGGTGTATTTGGAGTGCCTGGCGCATCATCGTGGACCTGCCATGGTGGGGCTCCATGCTCCCAGCTGTCAGGGGTGGGGGGTACCCCAGGGCCGCGGGGAGGCTGTCGGAGGGGGGGTCCCAGGGCCATGGGGCAGGCTGCGGGGGGTGCCAGGGTCGCAGCTGCCACCTGGCCTCTGAGAAGCTGTAGAACAGGGTTCTTAACATTCGGTCTTTGACCCCGATCTTCCCAGTGCACTGAGACGGACCTCCATGTGGCTGCCCCTCCTCCAGGCCTCACAGTCTGCAGGGTTTCAGCTTTGCCTGGACTCAGACCTCACTGCTGAGACAGATCATCTGCGGAGAAAGAAGTTCACTTGTTCTTGACACTAAGACTGAGAGGTGGCGCATGGGGAGGCCACTGGCGCGAGGGGACGGTCTCCCTTTCTTCCATGGCACGCCCGAAGGCCAGAGCAGGGGTGCTCGGTCCAAGACAGTCTGTGGAGACTCTGTTTCACTTCCTAGCAGATATAGACATAGGATTCTGAAATGACAGTCCCATTTTACATTATTTTAAAAATGTGTGCGTGTGTGTGTGTGTTTGAACTTTTGGGAAAATACCATTTTCATGATTTTGTTCTGGAATGATTTGGCTTTGAGAATTCATTTAATTGGTGGCTGGTGATCACTTCTTGGCAGTTTTCCTGCACACTTGGGGGCTCTGGGGGGGACCATCTGACCTCCAAACCGTTTCGGGTGGGATGACTCCTTTATGAACCCTTAATAAAGCTGATGCAATTCTGCACTGCACAGACATTTGTGTACACACTTATTCATTGTGATTTTAAGGTTTTCTCTTTCTGGATTTTGGAGCCAACACTGGTGCGGGCTGGGGGGTGTTTCCTCGCTCGGGTTCCAGACATTTTTACTGGCCCTTGTTGCGTTCCTAGGGCCTGGCCATCCTCCTATGGCTGCAAAGTGCATTGGGTGGGAGGGGGGGCCCCAAGGGCATCGCTCGGGCCCCTCCACACCTGCGGCTGTGCAGAAACAAAGCTGCTCAGCGGCATCAAGGGGCCAAACAGTCCTAGTGAAACTGGGGACCTCTCCGACCAGCATCAGCCCCTCCCCTGGTGTTCCTTGCAAGCGGGAGGCCCAAAATGACAGAGCTTGAAAATATTATCCACGCATCTGCCCGCTCCTCCAACTTCTACGGAGCACAGGTGGATACGACCCCGAAAGAAGGCAATTTGGCAACATCTGTCAAAACCACAGAGCAAGCCCCCTTTGAGTGGAGGGGCCCCCCGGGAGACTGTGTTCTGTGGGTGTTCTCACTCTTGTGCACGTCGAGTGTGCATGAGGCCTTCCACTGCCACGACGTTGGAAATAGAGGAACGTTAGAAGCGATCAAGTGAGAAGCGTATGGTGCAGCCGCAGCAGGAATGTCCCACGGCTGTGGCCCGCATGGCACCCAGGCATCCCCCTATGGGCAGGGCTCCAGGACGGGGCCCGGATTATTTCATAAAGCCAAACACCATGTGCGCACAGAACACCACCTGGCACTCTGCCCTTCGAATAAGAATGTGCAGATCGAGGCGGCTGTGCACAGGGAAACCCAGGAAAGACGTTGGCGGGGGGTGGCCCTGGGTCCCCGTGGGAGGGAGAAGGACCTGGGGGCATGGATTTTAATGCTTGGGCGGAAAGCGCTGGTACAGATACCTTCTTATATTTTTTTATTTTTAAATGCCATGTGCCTGGAGAATCATTTAAAACATGCCTATTGGATGAGCGTTGGGTGTTACACGCGAGTGATGTCGCTAAATTCTACCCCCACAGCTAATGACCCGCTGTATCTTGACTAACTAGAACTTAAGTGAAACCTAAGTGAAGAATTTAAGTTAAATGAAATGTGCCTGTTGGGTATGCAACTGTGCTAAGCCCTGTCCTAGGCACAGAACAGACTAGAGAATGGAGCAGACGATGGAGAGAAGAGAATCGCTCACTCGTGCTCCACGCCCTCGTGTCGCGGAGCAAATCCACGCCCACTAATGGAATAACTAAGGGCATGAAGACCTTATGGCCACAAACAACGAACGCTGGAACTCACTCAGGAGGCCATGCTGGGCTCCCACCACCACCGCACGGGCTCAGGAAAGGAGGTGTGCGGGGCTGGAGCTGAGTGTCCAGTCAGGACAGCTGGACAGACCTCGGGGGTGGCCTCTAGGAGGGCAGGCCAGACTGGGCGCTTTCAGGCAGGATCCCCTTTGGGGTGGACTGCTGCCCGGTATGGGTCCCCCAGGAGGAGCGTGACCTTGGGAGGAGAACCCAGCACCAGGAGATGTCAATCCGACAGACACCTGGAGCTGGGGCTGACGTTTCTGGTCCACATGTGTCCCTTCCAGCCACCAGCCTGCATGCACAGGCTTCTGACACCCCAAACCCTACCAGGGCGTTTTCTCCCCTCCATTTATATACACCGAGAGGTGGTGAGGTTTAGGACTGACCTCAGAGCTGCAGAGCCAGCCAGCAGGGACCAGGGTCCCAGGCCAAGCCTCTCCTGGCACCCCAGGGAGTAGAATTAAAGGGGCACGGCCACACCCGTGTCCCCCCAGGTGACCATGGTGGGGACTGAGCAGCAGGGTCTGCAGCGCTGTCAGAGACCACCCTCCCACAGTCCTTCACAGAGCCCCCGATGGCCCCAGACCTGGGCCTTGCCTGTCATCTGAGCACAGATACAGACTTTGGCCTGTTGGCCCCACTGGGGATCCTCACCCTGGTCAGTAGGGCACAAAACGCCTTTGTCTTCCTATGCAAATGACCAGGTTCTGCCCAGGACAGCAGCTCCTGAAAGGCAGGTGGGGAGAGACTGCTTTATGGAAAATCTAAAAGCGCATTTCTTTGCATTTGAATGCGTGCCGGACCTCCGTTTAGCAGCAGACCGCCTCTGCGTCAGACCCTGGCTCCCCCAGCTTCCCCTTCGGGGTCTGGCGACGCCCCTGGACTTCTCAGAATTGCGTTTTTAAATGCACACAACATGGGGCGCCTGGGTGGCTCAGGGGGTTAAGCCTCTGCCTTCGGCTCAGGTCATGATCTCAGGGTCCTGGGATCGAGCCCCGCATCGGGCTCTCTGCTCAGCGGGGAGCCTGCTTCCCCCTCTCCCTCTCTGCTTCCTTGTGATCTCTCTCTCTCTCTGTCAAATAAATAAATAAAATCTTTAAGAAAATAAATAAATAAATGCACATAACAGAACACATGGTGTCCCGGCGGAAATCAGCCACACTGGAACAGGGCTCTCTCAAAATGCTCGTGACGCAAGGTCTGTCTCCGTCAGCTCCATCAGGTCAGGGCTGTTCTCCCAGACCTCCAGCAAAGGCCCCCCCATCCCCCGCAGGTGAGCAGCCTCTCTTCCCCCCTCCCCGGACACCTGCCTGCTCCTGGCCAGACCCCCACTTGACCCCTGACCCCTGACCCAACCCCTTAGGGATGGGAGCCACGCCCTCTCCCCCCCTTTCTGTTGGGGTGTCCATCACACTGGACACCGTGTTCTGTACATGGACTTATCAACGGTCTATGTTCACGCCACAAGGGAGAGATGCTCTCCACTGTATGACCCGATTCCCACGGCCCAGGGCACGTGGCGCATGGCAGGCACTCGATGCATCTTGAGAGGAAAGAGAGCCATCAGCGCAGAACTTCACCAAAGTACAAGTGGCATCCACGAGGACAGAGGGAATTGGAGGCCCTGCTTTACTAAGAGCTGCTAGGCTGAGGACCTTAGCCAAGGCCTGGCTTTGGCAGAGGCAGAGGCTGGGGGCTGGGGGGGGGGAGGGGTCAAGAAGTCCAAGGTCTCCTCTGCGATCCAGACCTCCCAACCTCACTGCTCATAGGACGCTCCCCCAGTGTCTCCAGCCACACAAGGTGTCCGCCCCAGAGTCAGGAAGGAGCAGTGACAATAGGGCTCCTGTGTGTGGGGGTGGCTGGGCGTTGGGACGGGCAAGGACTCAGGCAAATGAGCGGGGCACCCACAGATATAGAGGCCTGTGGGTGGTCTGCCCGCTGCTTCCACTTAGCTGGCCAGAATGGAGGGCAGCCCGAAGCAGCCGTGCCTGCGGAGGGGGCCCCGGGAGGTGGGGGACAGCCAGGCCCTCGCCAAGCTGCAGGAACTGGCCCTGACATGGTTCACGGAGACACAGGCACCCTCCATCCTGCAGGACGGAGCCCTGCCCCCCTGGTTTCACGGATTCATCACCCGCAAGTAAGGCTGCCCTGTCCCCTGCCGTGAGAGAGCTGCTTGGGCCCCCCCACCCCGGGACAGGACGGGCCTCTGCTGCCTCCCTGGGCCACTCTGAGTGCTGGTCTAGCAGAGGGACGGGGGCAGGGGCAGGGTGCGTTGAGACCGGCGCCGGAGAACCAAGGACTGGAGGGTTGTCATCTCTTCTGTCATGCAAGCCAGACACTCGTCAGGGAGGGTGAGCGCTGTCTTGAGTGGGGGCCGACCTGGGCCAGCCTGGACGTGCACTGCCCCACTGTGGAGGAGGCGACGTGGGGCCGGCGTTCGGGTTGCGTGGCCCCTGCCAGTGGCCTGAGCACGAGACAGAGGAGTGGCAGGTTCCCCCTGGCGCTCCCGGCTCAGCGCCGGCCGTCAACCAGAGCTGGCCACACTTGGTGTGCGGCTCTGCTGTCCCCGTCTCGAGAGGCTCAATGTTCGAGTGAGGGGCTCGGCACTTTCATTTAGTGCTGGGCTTGCAAACTCTGGTGTGGGCCCTGCATGGAGCCAGCACTTGGTAAGCACTGAGTGAGCAGGTGGTCCGTGGACTGCCAAACCAGAAGAGAGCTGGAACTTTCCACCACCTCTCCAGAATACTTGGCGCCATTCAGAAATGGCTGTGGCTGCCTCGGGCTGGAAGGGACATGTAGGGAGATGAGAGTCTAGTAATTGCCCTTGCGATCAAGCTCTGGGCATAACAGCACCTTCTCCTGGTAGAAACATGTGTTGTGCACATCCTGCACAACCGTACAGTGGTCCTGAGGCAGGGAGCCCCCCAGACCTAAAAATCTCTGGTGATAGAGATTCATTCTTACTACAGAGACATTCAGGTGGAGAGTGGGCAGCCAGGGTCAGTGGCTGTTGTACCTGCCGGTGAGGCTGCAGGGGAGGGTGGCGCACGGGGGCCTCAGCACTCGGGCCCAGCCCAACCCTGAGTCTTGAGTTTGCCGGACACTCAAGCGCACACAGACCACAGTAGCAGCTGCAGGTCTGAGAGTCCCCTGTGGAGAGCTGGAGATCTGTACCCAAGGGAGTGGCCAGCAGGGACTCTGGGACAGGCTAAGTCTGACCGCTCCTGCTGCCACATGGACACGGGCCCCTGTTAATTGCACATCCTCTGCCCAGGCAGACGGAGCAGCTGCTTGGGGACAAAGCTCTCGGCTCCTTCCTCATCCGCCTCAGCGACCGGGCCACTGGCTACATCTTGTCCTACAGGTAGGATAGGGAGCTGTCTGCGAGGCCCCTGAGCCCGCCTTGCCCCCACAGCCTGCACTGCCTGGCTTTCCCTGAGCCCTGGCTCCCCCACCACCCACTGCCTCCGTCACTGAGCAGCACTGGCCACGGGATGGGAGGCAGCAGCCTTTGGAGGAAGTGGGCAGGGGGCATTGGGGGAGCCACAAGGGGCTGGGGGCAGCGGGTTCCTGGGGAGGAGGGCTTGTGCAGGAGGGCAGGGCCGTTTGGTCAGGGTCCTGCTGTGGACGGAGGACCTAAAGACAGAGCCTGGACGGGTGAGGCCCGTGGGAACCCTTGAAAGGATGAGGCTACGATACAGAACAGAGGGCAGGACGACCAGCACGAAGCTGAGGGAGGTGGTGACATCAGGCCTGGGTTGGAGAGGAGTTTGGGTATGGGAAGGCAGAGCTGGAGAAAGGAAGAAGCCTCCCTCCCATGAGGAAGCGAGGCCAGGGTTCCCGTGCACCTCAAAGGCCTCAGATCAGATTCAAAGTTACCTCCTGCTCAGACCGCCCCTATCCTGACGTTGCGCGCGGGCATCCCTGTGCCTCTGTCTCTCCATCTGTAGGGTAGGAACATTGTAGTACGGACGTCGCAGGATAGCTGAATGGGTAGGACAGGTTTACACATTGAAACATGCTTGGCACAGGGGCTGAACGTCGTAATGACCAAACAAACGTCAGTCACTACCCAAATGGGAATTGTTATTCTGTGTGCCAGGTACCAAGCTAAGCACTTTGAAATACGTGAGCTCGGCCGCTTCCTAATGTCTTTCCAGCATCAGGGCTCCTTTTCCCGAACATGGCTTGGGTGGGATGCCAACTTATACAATTGTTCAGAGGTCCATGATGGGTAGATGGACCCACGGGCACCCTGGGGTCCAGAAACAGTCCAGCGCTTGTGGTCACCTGCTTCCCAGCAGTTCTGTGGGGAAAGGCAGGTCTTTCCAGCAAGGAGCTCGGGAGCAGTCAGATATCCAGATGGAAAACAATGACCCCCACCTCACGCCATACACAGAAGTCAACTAATTCTAGCAGGATCACAGCCCTGAGTGAGAAAAACAAAGCAAGACTTTTTTTTTTTTTTTTTAACTAACAGGTTGGGGATTTTTTAAGATTTTTAAAAATTTATTTGACAGATCACAAGTAGGCAGAGAGGCAGGCAGAGAGAGAGAGAGAGAGGAGGAAAAGCAGGCTCCCGGCTGAGCAGAGAGCCCGATGTAGGGCTTGATCCCAGGACCCTGGATCATGACGTGAGCCAAAGGCAGAGGCTTAACCCACTGAGCCACCCAGGCGCCCCAGAGCAAGACATTTCTAAAAGAAGACAGGAAAAATTTTCAAGACTTGGAGAAAGACAAAGATTCCTTAAGACCACACCTCCTAACCATGAAAGAGAAGGTGGACACGTGGGTTTCTTTAAAATTAAAACTTTCTGCTCTTCACAAGATGCCAAGTGAGTAAAAGGACAAACCAAAGTCTCGGGAGAAGTTACGTATCGTAGTGCGCGTGTCTATCGAGGGCAGAGCACGCAAGGAGCTGCGGAGAACCACTGGGACAGAGACGACGCGGTACACAAGGGGGAAAGGCTGGAATGGCGCTTCGCAGACGGGGCTGTCCTGAGGGCAACGGGCCTGGCGACCGGCAGCGACCCTCTCCCGGAAAATACAAACGCAGCCCAAGCGAGCGCACGGCGGGAGGAGGAGCCGCGAGGGTCTGGCGAGGGTGCGCTCCGCCGCTCGGCTCCCGCAGGGCTCGCAGGGGCTTCGGAGAACATCCGCCCCAAGCCGCCGAACGGCACAGCGGCGCCCCCCCCCAGCCCCCCCCTCCCCCGCTGCAGTCTGCTCGGGAGCGGCCCCTGCGCGCCCAGAGGCGCGCACGAGGGTGCCCGCGGCGGCTGCGCTCCTAGCCCAGCCGAGTCTGCAAACGAGCGGACGCGCGGCGACAGGGGCGGACGCGCGTGTTTGCCCGCAGGGGACCTCGCGGCATAGGGACGGGGCGCTCACTGGGCGCGGACCCGGTCGGTCTAAGACGGAGGGTTGGGGCAAGGAGTCGGGTGGGAGAGCGAGGTCCCGGGACTTCAGGAGGGGACGAGCGGGGGCGCTCCGGTGCGGGAACCGTCGCTGTGCGCACTGCGGACACGGGCGCCTCGCTGCAGCAGCGGTCGGTCCCGCCGGGAGGACGTGCCCCGGGGAGGGCGGCCGTGGACCCGAGCCTGGGGGCGGGGCCAGGAGTCCAGGGGTTTGGGGCGCGCGGAGGAAGCGCAGGGCCGGACCTCGTCTTGGTCGAAGATTTCGGTGTTTTGTTCATCATGGACTTTGATTCTCTAAAACATCGCCTTGCCGGGCACTGTGGCGCCCCGCTGGGTGCCGCCCTCGCCCCACCAGGCGGGCCTGGGGGCTTCCCTGCCACCTGGGGCCCGTGGTTTGGAAGCCACTCCCCGGCTCCCGACCCCGCATGGCCACCCGCGAGGCTGGGCTCCGGGACTCCAGGCCCCGCTACAGAGGGACACACGGAGGGCTGTGCGGCCAGCGGGTGCTGGCGCCGAGGCTGGACCGCCCTTGGCCACACCTGCTTGCCTTACAGGGGCAGCGACCGCTGTCGGCACTTCGTCATCAACCAGCTGCGGGACCGGCGCTACCTGGTCTCGGGGGACACGCACAGCCACGGCACCCTGGCCGACCTCGTACGCCATTACCAGGAGGTGCAGCTGGAGCCCTTTGGGGAGACCCTGTCTGCTGCCTGCCCGCGGGTAGGCACCCCTACCCGGGGTGTGCACGGGTGGGGCGGGGTGCCCCCAGGCACTCAGTGCAGAGTCGGGGTCGCGTTTGAGGAGGGCGGGCTGAGGCAGCACCTTCCCTGAGGTCAGGGCCCTGGGGAGCCTGTGTCGGTCCCTCTGTGGCAGGCGGTGGGAGGTCAGCAGGGAGTGCGTGACCACGTTCCCGCTGTGCCCCCACTGCCCAGCCGGAGGACAATGATCTATATGATGCTATCACCCTGGGCCTCCACCACACCCATCTGGGCCCGGACAACCCAGCCGTCACAGCTTCGCCAGCAGCGGTCCTGGACGAGGCTGCCAACCCCTGCCCCTGCCCCAAGCCACAGGTCTCCTTCCTCCAAACCAAGAGCCGGGATGCCAGTTCCTGCAGCTTCTCGGAGCAGGGGGGCGTGGCGGTAAGCAGCATAGGGAGCCCAGCGGGTCCGCCATGCACCAGGCCCACAGGTCTGGACTAGAGCTTTGGGGCTTGAGCTCCAGGCTCAGAGGTGTGGGCTCACCCACCCCTGGGCCGTCTCTGGCCTGCTGGGGCTGCCTCAGCTTACGATTCCTACAGTTCTTCTGAGGCTTGAATGAGAAAATGGGCAGGAAATGGCCTGAAATTCCTCTAAACTATAGGGGAACGAGGTGGGAGGTGGTGTCTATGAGGACATTTTCCCCCACAGCACCCCTGGGAGGGGCTCAGAGAGCTTTTCCTCCTATGCAGCAGATCACAGCATGCCCCAGGCCTCTCCAAACGTTTGGAAACAAGATGAGGCCTTTCCCAGGGTCCACGGGGGGCCTCACCAGGGGTCCTGCTACCTCCCCTCTGCACCCTCTCCTCCGACCTCTCTGGCACCTTCCCAGAACACGCCAATCTTACTCCCACCCCACGGCCTTTGCACTTGCTGTACCTTTGCTGCAATGCTCTCCCTCCCAGATAGCCGCTTGCCCTCCTTTCTCTGCTTGCATGTCATCTCTCCAGAAGGGCCAAGACTGCAGCAAAGGCCCCTTCCCACCTGTCATTCTGTCTATCCCATTCATGGGACCAATTGCGACCGGAGAGCTTACCATCTTGTGACATGCTATCCTATGTGTCAGGCACATGAAACCATGTAACAGACTGGTCTGCTGTCCTTCTCCCAGCGTAGAAGGCAGACTTCAGAGTTGGCCTTGCTGCCCATCGACTCCTTGGCACCTGGAACTGTGTCTGGCACAGAGCTGGTGCCCAGCGGGCATTTAGGGAATAAACACACAAATGACAGCCTTGGGGGTGACAGTCTATTCTGAAGGAGGGGGGAGCAGTGAGTGGAGGGGCTCAGGGGCTCTGAGGGGCCAGTGGAGCACTTGGGAGGGAGGACAGGGCAGGATGAGCTCGGATGGTGCCTGCTGGCTTCCAATGCCAAGGAAAGACTAGACTCGGGAGTGTGGGGGCTGACAGGGACTGGACAGTGAGGTAAACTGAGCCAGGACAGGGGCTGCGGCTGGCCGAGAGCTCCCGTTCACCTGAGGGCATCTTAGCGATGGGAGAGCGTTCGAGGGGTTCTGTTTCTGTCTCCCCAGGTCCCCGGGAGGGTGCCTCCCCTCCCTGAGAGGAGTGCCTCCCTTCTGGATAAGTCCTTTGGAAGCCCTAACAACAGTATCTACTCAGACCTGAGGAAGATGAACCAGGCACAGCTAGGCCTGGGCCCAGAGGCATCCGGCAGACCCAGGCCAGCTCCAGGGGGCAGCCAGCCCAGCTCCCCTGGCAAGGAGTCCCTGAAGAGACTCTCGGCTGGAGGTCAGAACAGGCCTGATGGCCTGGGGCCTGCCTTCTCTGGGGTGAGCCCTGAGCAGGGTCCCACAGGGCCTCCCGCAGCCGGGGGCCACCTGCCCCCCCGCTTCTGAGGCCCTGGGATCCTCCGCCACCCCCTGGAGCCAGGCATCTCCAAAGCTGAGCCACAGGGCTCAGCCCGGCTCCCAGGGCACTTCTGCAGACACTTACCAGCTCCTGCAGACAGAAGGTCCCGTCAGAGCCCGGGGACACGCCACACCAAGGAGGCAGTGCCTATGCGCAGGTCCCAGTGCGCTGGGGGGCTCACCCAGGCCCCCGTGTCCCGGGACCAGTCCTCCAACTAGCAGGCCACCAGGATCCACAGACCGTGGCTACAAGAGGCTCTCAGGGGCCCCAGAGCTCCCTGAGCCCGGGAACACCTATGAACAAATCCCAGCAGCCAGGAGCAAGGAGACTGGACAGGCACACAAGGTGGGCTCCACAGGGGGATGGGGTGGCTGCCAGCCCCTGCTGGTAAGAGGGATCCGTGACCTTCATGCCCGAGCAGATTGGGTCACTGCTACTGCTCCGAGGGGCCCAGGATTTTCTAGAAGTAACATATGCTTGGAGGTGGTGGGAGGGGCTGTTGCTCAGCTTGAATGCAAGGTGTGGTCTTCTAGGCCCTTCAGAGGGCTTTCTCTGCAGCCCAAGTTTCCCGGCGCCCTCCAAGCCACTTGTGCCCTCACTGTGGCTCAGCTGCCCCCAGCCACATGGCTCTGGGCGAGGCAACTTCCCTGGCGGACCTTCCTAAGACTGTGTCCCAAACACTGCGGTTACTGCTCGTTTTCCTTCAGCAACCCGACCCAGGACCTCCCTCTCTTCCTTTGTACAACTGTCTGCCCCAGGGCAAGGCTAGACATACTCGCCGGCTCAGGACACAGCCCAGAGACAGCCGGGCAGAGCTGTCAAATGCAGGGTTTCTGATCTGAGGGCCGGCGGGGGAAGTAGAGGGCAGGGGCTCCCACGGGGCCCGGGCACCCTCGGCCCCAGCACATTCTACCTGCACCCCGAGCCAGTGGGCAGGGAGGGTCCACTCCTCACGGGGACGGCTTTGGACCTCGGCTCACGCAGACCCTCGAGGTCTGGGCAGTGAAACCTGAGGTCCTTGCTGAAAGGCCTTCCCACACGTCCCTGGGCGGGGTGTTCACCCGGTGCGGTGCGGGGCACCACGGAGGTCCTGACTCTGCTGGGACCACAGGCCCCGCCTGCAGGCAGGCGCTCCAGGAACCCTGAAGCCACATCCCATGGCACCCCCCCCCCCCCCCGCCCCGTCACTGCAAAGCCCACACCCCCTCCTCCCCTAGCCTTCTCAGAAGACATAGGTCCTTCACCCAGAACGGGGCGGGGGGTGGGGCTGGCTGTGCAATTTCTGGCAATCCTCCCAGCAGGCCTTTCTTGGGCTTGGGCCCCAGCGACTGACCGGTGCCGCGCCTCTCTCCGCCCAAGGCCTCCAGGCCCCAGTGTCTGCTCCCTCTTTGCAGCCCGACAAGCTCCGCAGGCTCTTCTTCACCGACAAGAAGCACAAGTCCTGAGCACTGAGCTTCCTTCTAGCAGCTCACCAGTGGGCTTCCCCGGCCCCTCACTCTCCCCCGAGAGGAGTGGGGGGTGGTCAGGGCCGGAGAGGCGGGGGCGCTGACCACAGGCAGGGGCAGCACCCCCATCTCCAAGATGAACTGAGGCCTGGGCTCCCTGACCACTTATGAGCCCAGGCTGGCCCTGGGCTGGGGTGGCCGTTCTGAGACCCAAGCCAGCTCCCATGCTGGGGGCCCTCCCAGCAGCAGGGTTCGGAGGCCACTGAGGCAAGAGTTCTGGCCCGAAGGCGCTGGGCTCCCAGCAGCGGCTCCCTTGGCCCTTCTCTGTCCCCTGCCTTATTGTAGCCCTGCCACACGGTCCCACCAGGCCCTCACCCAACCCCTCTGTGCTGCAGACGGAGAAACCAAGGCCTACAGAGGGGGAGTAAGCTGCCGGAGATTCTGCTTAGCCCCTCAGCACACACCCCAAGTCTGCCTGCCCAGGGTCCGCCTGAGACACAGTCCTGTGCATTTCTGGAGCCAGTCGGGTGTGGACTGCCCATCCGTTCGACAAGGTCACCCTCCCCTGCCCTCTGGCTCCCACCAGTCCTGGCCCCAAGGGGTGGCTCTCATACCAGGAGGCCCATACAACAGCTCTGGATACAGGCACTCCTGGATCCCCATCCCCCAGGGTCCTTCCTGCTTTGTCCCACTTCCCTTGTCCCCCACGTCCCCACTGTGTAAGGGTGAGTAGCTTGTCTTCTGCTCCCCGCCCACAGCCCCCAGAGGTAGAAAACAAACTGACCGTCCCCAGAAGGAGCACTGTGGCCCCCACCCTGCCTACCCATGTCCCTCAGTGGCCTTGGCCCGCCTCACACCTGTGGGGGAATCTCCCCTTAGCCGCCTCTCCCCATGAAGAGCGAGCCCGCGAGAGCCCCTGCCTCCTGGGGCCTTCAGCAAGCAGCCCCGTGTCTGACTCGTGGTTAGCGTTCCGTCAATTCTCACCACGAGCTCTACTGTCACAGGGGAAATGGACACGGTTCTCACCTAATGTCTCCTGTGGGGCTCACCTGGGGGTTCAGGGCAATGTGTTTCCCTCTCAAAAATACAAGCACTGAAATAAACGTGAGTGCCCAAAGCAGGAAGGCAATGCTGGGCCGAGGTGACCCACTCACTGTGGGACTTTAAGGAGCAGGAGAAAGGGACCACTGAGCCCGTCTTAACGTCGGCAGAGAGAGCACAGGGACGTCAAATTGCTTTACTACCAGGAATTCACAAATGTGTGGACAGCACGCACCAGTGAGAATTCCACATCTTGGGGACATCTTGGGGGGGTGGCGCAGAACATGGGATGCCCAGGCCTTAGAGCCAGGGACAGGGACAGAGGCCTTGGCCCACTGTCCACACAGTTTCACATTGGGGGGGCCGGGGGGGCAGCCCAGCCGTGAGTTTTGGAGAAAGACTGCATAGCTCATGAAACCTTGTCCTCTTTCCCTTTTCACTTTGCCCTGGATGACCGGGACACCCTCCCAGGACTTGGGACACATCTGGAGCCCTTGCCCTGTGAGGTCTTGCTGTCCCCTCCTAGTGGGGCCACTTCTGACGTGGAGAGGATGGGGGTCTGGAGGGCTTGGGGGCCCAGATGGATGGCCTGTGGCAGGGCCCTGCTCCCCACACCCCCCTTCCCTGGTTAAGGATTTTTTTGCTGAAAGGGCTGAGGAAATGTTGGTGGGTCTAACCCCAGAGGCCACCGCCTCCATTCCGGGCAGCTCGGAGGTCGCGCTCGTGTAGACAGGGCAGCCAGAGGGTCAGCTTCAGGGCCCCTGCGCCCTCACCAGTGTTCTCAGATCCGGATGTGAAAGGTGCTAGAAAGAGAGGAAGGGCCCCTCAGCAGAAATCCCACTGTCCCCCGGCCCAGGGCACGGTCCCATAGGAGGATGTGAAGGACACAGCCAACCTCCGGGGAGGGCAGGTGGGCGGGGGCCCAGCTGTTGCCGGAATCCCTAGCCCCAGACGCCCGGCCTTACCTGAGGAAGTCGGGAGCCTTGGCAATCATGTCCTCAAAGTCCGCAAAGCCCAGCTTGCCGTCGCCGTCCAGGTCGGCCTCCTCGATGACCTTATCACACACGAGCACCACCTCGTCCTCGTCCAGCTCTGACTTGGTGAGCCGCGCCAGCGTGTGCTCCAGGTCCTCCTTACAGATGAAGTTGTCCGTGTTGAAGTCTGCGGGCGGGGGCAGGGGTGCTCAGGCCGGGGTTCCCCACAATGTCCCGCCCCCAGTGCCCAGGCCCAGGCCGAACAGCACATCCAAGGAGTTGACACTCATGACCCCGAAAGACCCTGTGATGGTCCTAGGTCCAAACCCGGCCCGAGACCCTTCCAAGTCTGAGTCTGAGGCTTGGGACACTGGGCCCTTCCGGCTCCACCCGCGGCGGGCCCTGTACTCCCGCTGGAGCAGAGGAAGTTGAGGCCCAGGAGGCCAAGCCACCGAGCCAAGGGCAGAGGGCCGCCCGGAGGGGAGTCAGGACAGGCGTGTCCGCCGCTAAGTGCCCACCCGCCGCGGCCACGTTCTCCCGACGGCACCACGTGGCCTCCTGCAGGCCCCTGCCAGGCGTGGCGGTGGTCAGGAGACTTGGGAGCCCTCAGAGGGAGGCCCAGGCTGGTCGCCGTGCACAGAGCGGGGCGCATGGCTCCAGTCTACTTGGCAGACGGCACTACCACTGCCCCAAGTACAGCCACCCGGCTCGCGGCAGTGACCCCGACACCCTGCACGCCGCGTCCAGCACGGCTCCCAGATCTCCACCCCTCCCACTCGTCTGTCCAGCAAATTCCCATTTGTCCTTAGGTTTCAGGATCAAACACCGCCTCTCGGGGGCTTTCTAGTTGCAGGGACCCCGCCACTGGCCGCACCCTGACACGAACGGCAGGGATGAGGAGTGCGGCGGCCCGTGGGAATGGCAGGGGCTCTGCCTCCTGCCACCACCCATGCAGCGGATTGGTGGGTCCAGGTCATGCATGTGTGAAGAAACAGGGTCTTGCAGAGGGCACATGACCCAAAGGGACACCCCTGGTCAGGGCTGGACCCTGAGCCCAGCCCCTAAACAGGTACCCGCACGGCCCATCTCAGGACTGGTGGGCAGGCACGGGTGGGCTTTCCCTTGGCTCCCGCAGGGGCGTCCAGAAAGCTCTGCAGAGATGAGCCGCCTGCCCGGCCGGCTGGATGCCTGTGCCCCTTTGATGGGAAGGAGCCGAGGCCCAGGAAGGGGGATGACTGTTGACAGGACTCTCCCCAACACCAAAGCCCGTGTCCCAGTTGGCCTTCCCACTCTATCCCACAGCTGGGGCAACAGAGTCTGGATCCCCCTGAATCTGTCCCCACCTGCCCCCACCTGCCCCCAGGACCCTCACTGGCAGACAGCAGCATGCCCCACGGGCGGTGCCAGGGGTCCAAGGCTAGAGCGTGGCGGGTGCAGCGGGGCGTGGTGGGGGGAGGGTGGGCCTGCGGCTGCGTGCTTTGACACACACACAGGGGGGGCTGCGTGCGCCAAGACCAGGCCTCTGAGAGCAGCACGGTGGCTACAAAAGGAAAAAGTCCGAGAGGCCGGGAGCCACAGGCTGGTCAAAGGTGCTGGGACACACAAGGTCTCTTGTAGCTCAGGCCCAGCCCCGTCCTGGAACTGGGTGTCCCCATGGGGGTACGGGCCAGCTGTGCTAAATTCTCTGCTCTGGGGCCTGGTGTGACCGTGGCCCCGGGAGCCCCGCTGCCTGGCCCAGGTGCCCTCTCCAGCCCCTGGCCTCTGGCGCACACATCCACCACCCAAAGCCCGCAGCGGCCCCAGAACCCCAGAGCAGCCCCAGAACCCCAGGCACCCCGAAGCCCACAGCGGCCCCAGAACCCCAGGTGCCCCAGAGCCCCAGGTGCCTGGTCCAAGCTCCCTGGCCGGCTCCTTGCAGCCTGACCTGCAGCCTCCCTGGGCTCACACCGCCTGGGTCTCTGCTCCCGGAGGCCTGGCACCTCCTTGCTGCTCCGTCCGTTGGGCATGCCTGCCTCCACTGTGGTGTCCACTGACAGCCCCCAGGACCCCGCATCCCCAAACACCACCCCCGCCCCCAGGACTCCCCCTGCACCCCAGGCCCCCACCGTAGATCTTAAAGGCGTAGTTAGCCTTGAGCTCCCGTGGAGCCGACTCGCACAGCACAGAGAACATGTCCACAAAGTCGTTGAAGGTGAGGTTCCCCTCGCCGTCCTCAGAAAAAGCCTCCACGATCCTTTCCTTGAAGGGGTTCTCCTGCAGGAAACAGCCACAGCAGTCGTGTGGGCACAGGGTACTGGACGGACTCCAGGGAGACCGCTAGGCCTGTGTGGCCTCGGACAAATGAACCCCCACGGCCGCCCGCACAGCTCGGCCAGTGTGTGAGGGGATGAATAAAGCGTGATGGGGGTTGGGGGGGGGTTGTATGCGGCCAGGCGCCTGGGTTCCTCGGGTCATGTTTCTCAGACGAGCATGGAGCTGGTGAGGCCAAGCTGTGCTCACCAGATACCCTCTCGTCTCAGACAGCCCTGGGCTACGCCAGGTCAGGCCAAGGTCATGGGAGGCAGAAGTGGGGCCCCCAAGGCTCGGAGAAAGAGGCGGACAAACGGCAAGACTCGGGGGGGCTAGTCAGAGCCCAGGCCACTGTCAGCCTGCTCGGGGGCCTCGCACTCAGGGAGCCACACCCCAACTCCGTCCTCTGGTCCCAGGTCTCCGGGGCTCCCTCTTCCTGGAGTCCCCACCCCAAGTGGGCTTGGCCGCCCCCACTCTGTGCCGGGCCAAGGAGACCCAGAAACCACCTGCGTGGTGGCCAGAGTGCCCCATGCCCCTGCAGTGACCTCCGGGCCGGCGCTCAGGCCATTCTCTAGGCTGGCAGGCACATGCCAGGGCCAAGCCTGGGCCTCACTGTCCCTCGGGATAGAGGTCACAACTGGAACACAGACCAGAAAGGACGCCACATGGTGCCCTGACCCTGAGTCACACATCCAGGGCCTGGCCAGGGGCTCCTGGCCACATCCCATAGCGGGATGCAGCTGTGCCCCGAACACCAGTCTCCCTTCCCCTGGCGGGCACTGGTTGCGTTACAGGCCAGGAACTCATGAAACGAAACTTTCCTGTCGAACATACATGTGGTCTAAGGTCCAGCAGCGTCCGCGGGCGAACGGAATCTCGCCCCCTCCACCCAGACCTGCTGACCCTAAGCGGCCTTCTGACAAGATCGGCAGGTCTGAGAAGGGGTGGTGGGGGGTGACCTGAGGCGAGAGGCCAAAGCCAGGAGATAGAAGAGCCATCTACAAGGGCAGACACAAGCAGGCACCTGGGGGCTCTGTCGGTTAAGCGCGGGACACGTGGACTGGGCTTGGGTCACGATCTCAGGGCTATGAGATGGAGCCCCGTGCCAGGCTCTGCGCTCAGCGTCTGCTCGTCCCTCTCCCTCTGCTCGCTCACTCCCTCTCAAGAAAATAAATAAAATCTTACAAAAGAAGAAAGCAGACGAGCTCTGCCTTGAAGAGCCGCCCGGCCATTGCACAAGGGGCAGGCCAGTGAGTGCAGCCCCCGCACCGCCCCCGCACGTGAGCCCGTGCATTCAGAGTGCAGGGGAGCGGGCAGGCACGGAGCAGGCGAGCTCCGGAGGGCAGAGCGGCCTCAGCCGGGGTCTGGGGGTGTGTGCTGCCTGCGTCCCGGGCCCCCTCCCAGCGGCAGCAGCCTGGCTCGTACCCGGAGCTCCGGCATCTGGATGATGAGGCTCATGGGCACGTGGACAACCGGGCTCTTCCTGTAGTCCATGGGGACGAGGTTGGGGGCCAGCTCGTAGAACCGTGCGTGGAGCCTGCAAGGGAGGCAGAGGGAGGAGCTGGAGGGGTGCACCCTGGAGCCCCCGGTGGCTGGTGCTGCCCACCCCGTACCCCAGTCTTGTGCATGACACACTCCCCCACCCCGGCCCTTGCTCTGCCCGCAGGGCTGGGACCTGTGAGGGAGGCCGCTTCTGCCCAGACCCCAGTGCCAATAACCAGGTCGTGTCCTGGCCCCTTGCACCGTCCCCCGCAGGCTGGGCCCCACTTGCGGGGTCCACAACCAGACCTTTGTGTTCCCCTTTGGGCTCCCATAAGGGCCTTCTGTGTGCTAGGCACGTCCCCTCATTTAATTCTCCCCTCGGCCATGCAGGTACACTGCAGGCCCAGCTCACAGCTCAGCAAACCGAGGCCTGAGGAGGTTAGAAGCCATCTGTCTAGGACCCCCCAACTACAACTCTCAGGGTCCATGGCGGGAACAAAGACCAGGAGCTCTTCACAGTTCTGCCCCCGCCCCAAAGCTGCCAAGGCCTGGCCTGTAGGCTGCCCCAGCTCAAGCCAGGCTGCGAGGCCTGGTCTCGGAAGAGCTGCCAGCCTCCCCCACCCCCACCCACGTCCACAGAAGCCCCTGTGGACCCTGGGTCGTGTGGGACCTCCTCGCCCCTCCCTGGGCGGCCTAGCACTCAGGTGGAGGCCCTTCCCTGGCTCTTCGGGCCTCTTCTGCCCTGTGTTTCTGTGTCTACGCCCCTAACGTCGCAGACAATAGCCCCCAACTCCCAGGCCCAGACAAGTACAACTTATGGGGGACAAGTGTCGGGGCACTGAGCAGGGACTGAGGCAGGTCCCTTGCCCAAGGTGAGGCCCAGGACTGTTGGGAGTGGCATCAAAGTGGCCCCAGAGCTCCTGGCCACACCTGCCCTGCTCCCCCACAGCCAGGACTGCTTGCAAGTGGTGGGCCCTGCGGCAGGCCTGTGAGCACAGCCACCCAGACCTCTCCAGCAGAGCGCGGAAGTGTGCGGCTGCCTCCCCCAGGTGACGACAGCTCTGTCTAGCAAGTGCTCACTCCGTGCCCTGCGGCGGGTCAGTGCCCCGTGTGGACGACTCAATGTCACTCTCACACCACCCCAAGACGCAGGTGTCACCCTCTCCATAGTTTCTGGGGAGGAAACTGAGGCTTCGAGGGTTAAGTGCCCACCCAGCACACCAGCCAGTGAGTGGTGGGGCCCAGACTCGAACCCAAGGCCCTCTGGGTTCCAACCACTGGGTTCCTCCCAGCCCATCGGCACCTGGCTCAGAGTCCGCGCAGGGCATGGGCAGAGCAAAGTGCCACGAGCCTGCCCTGCCGGCCACAGGTTCCCGTAAACATCCTGAAATCACAACGAAGCTCTGTGGCTTAGGGACACAGCCCCGGAGGGAAACAAGCTGAGGCCCATCCCCTGGCTGGGTGTGCGCGAGCAGACAGCGGGGTGACCGGACCAAGTCGGACTCCCCACCGGGCGCACTCAAGGGCTTTCTTTGCTCTTGCTTTCGGAATTACTGTCCCCAAACATGGAGCCAGGACTTCCATACCCCAATTTAGGCAGCTGGGGTGGAGTACTCGACAGTGTGTTCAACTTCCAACTGTCACATTATGCCCCGCCCCCCGGCCCTTGACCCTTGACATGCTGGGTCTGATGCTGCGTCCTCCTGGGCATCACCTGACCCTTCCAAGGTCACATGGGGTCAAGTCAGGTGGTGGCTGGAGCCCGCACCTCGCTGGCTGGTGGTCTGACCCCGGGGTGAGTCAACTTCCCTAACAGAAAATGGGAACTGTCCTACTGTCCTCACATGTGGGGCTCAAAAAGGATGGCGCTACAGAAGCCAGCGGGCCCTCAGCTGCCCCCCACCAGGGGGAACTGGGGAGAGGGGTGCAGGGCTGGCAGGGTGGCATGTCCCCTTGTGGGGGGGGGGAGGCCAACTTCCACCCTGACTCTAGGACAAATGGCCATTTCTCTTTTTCTTTTTAGGAAAACTTGAAGAGAACTGGGAAGGCTGAATCACTGTGGGAGAAACTCGGAACAAGGAAATGCATCCCTGCTACCCCATCCCAATGTAGGGCCTGCTGAGCTCCTGGAGGCTTCGGCACGACGGATCCCTGCCCCGTGGGGTGTGCTTCAGCGTGCAGGGCAAACAGGAAGAGCCTCCCCACTTATCTCAGAAAGTTAGCAAGAACCCTGTCCTCTGAACCCCAAGGGCGGCATCCAGGACGGGCCGACAGCATGCACACACAGGTGCTAGAATCTTACAAGAGGCGCCTACATCAAGTCCAACGGAGTTGGAAGCTTCAAGCACTCGGACCACGGAGGATTCCTGCCAGGAATGCATGGGTGTCCGAAAATCTGGGACCCCACGTCATAGCAATAGGTTAAAAAACATTTTTATTAACTTGGCAGCTGCATTTACGACTGGATGGTTGTAAGAACACGGGAAAGACCCCCAGACGTACGCATGCCGTGTTCACACTGACGGTGCCTGCACGATGGAGGCACACGGGAACGAGAAGATGGGGCGGGCTGCCACTTCCTACCAAACCCACTGCCCTACGGCTTTAAGTTGTAGAGCGTTTATCAACACAGGTATTTATGAAGTATTAATTTTTATCAATGATAAAGCTTCCTATGCTTAGTAAAACAGAAATCAAGGGTTGCTTCACACCAGTGCCCAGCCCCATACTTGAACAGTGACCTAGCAGAGACCCCAGGAGTGTGGGACCTCACTGTCACCATCATCATGCAGCATCCGCCTGAGGGCACTGGGCTCCGCGACCAGTCAGGGAAATAAGTGGAGTATGGAAGTACTGGAAAGGAAGAGGCAAATTATTTGCCAAAACCAAAAATCGTCAGTTTCAAAGCTACCAATGAGAAATGGCTCAGCAGCCATCCAGCGCCAAATAGTTTTCTATGTTCCGTCATCTGCCTGTTCAAAAATTAGATATAAAAGACCTCATTCACAATTAGGGGAAAAAACCCCACCAAAACAACGAAGTATGAAATAAACTCAAAGTGTGTAAAAAGATAGGAAACGTTCAAGGGCGCCTGGGAGGCTCAGTGGGTTAAAGCCTCTGCCTTCGGCTCGGGTCATGATCCCAGGGTCCTGGATCGAGCCCCGCATCAGGCTCTCTGCTCCGCGGGGAGCCTGCTTCCTCCTCTCTCTCTGCCTGCCGCTCTGCCTACTTGTGATCGCTGTCTGTTAAATAAATAAATAAAATCTTAAGAAAAAAAATTAAAAAAAAAAAAAAAAAAAAAAGATAGAAAACATTCAGGTGGTGGGGTAAGTGCCGCTTTCCCACACAGCGACCACAACCTTAACCGGTCTGCAACAGGGTCATGCAAGAGTGCGCCGACCGGACTCAGAAGTCCGCCGGGCAGGATGAAGGCAGGAGAGTGGGCGCGGGCCTGGAGCAGAGGCCTCTGCGGCTGTCTGCCCCCCGTGTGTGAAGACAGCTGGCAGGAACAGCAGGTCACCCGGGGGCGCAGACGGCGCCCGTCTACAGAAGGGCGGTCCACAACAGATGGCACTGGAAAGCACCGGGAGGGATGGATTCTTCTGGAAGTTGTGGACTGGCCGGCGGTCCACATTTGGGGCTAGCTCGCCGGGAACAGTAAGTAAATTAAGACAATACCCAAACCATAGCTGCTAAACATACAAATTAGAACATGGCCTGAAGAGCCTGGATCCACGGCAAGGCAACGAGTGACGACAGACCCAAAGAAAGGGAAGAGTCCCAGGTGGGCAGCTCAGGGGTGGTGCGGAGATGCAGGCCATGGCCTTGACTTCTGGACCTCCCAGGAGCAGGAGGCCGTCGGGGCCGGAGCCAGAGGGCCGTCGGGGTGGCAAGTCTACTAGACAGACGCCAGTGACAGGCGCCATGATTTACAGGGCTTGTGGCCCGAGTGGGGCCATCAGTGCATGACTGAGACTGGGGGGGGGGTCTCCTCTGGCAGGCATAGTGGGGCCTTGGTACGTCCTGCCAGCCTGGGCTGGGGCCCAGCAAAGGCACCAAAACTGGGACGGAGCTATCTGCACAGTGATCTCCACAGTGCTCCCTAGCAGGCCCCGGGGGGTTCTGCGCCCGTGCTGTCTGGGCCATCTTCCTGCTGGCAAGACCACCCCGCAGAAGCTCTGGCCCCTCGGGTCCCCAGGGGGTTGAGACCACTGTGGGAAAGCTGGATGAACCAGAGCAAGCAGTCAGGACCAGGGAGGGCACCCAGCTGCCAGGGGTGGGGGGTGGGGTCCTTTTCCTGTCTGGACCCCAGGCCTTGCTGGTGACTAACATGTGCCCAACAAGAGCAGGGGGACCTGGGTCCTGGCCGACTGCAGCCTCGCAGGGGCCCGACCACCCGAGCCATGGAGCCCCCAGAGGCCCCAGGACACTGAAAGGGCAGTGGCAGGGGTGGGGCAGCAGGGGGCGCTCATGGAGCAGCTGACCGTGGCGCTGGGTGTGAAGGGTGCGCAGGACCGTGGTGAGCAGAGAACGTGGAGAAGCAGCGGCCAGTGGTGGGGACAAGTGCCTGCTGCTGGAGCAGAGATGGCCACGGGCCTCAGACGCCGAGCGGCTGCATGTGAACGCCGCGGATGTGGGTCCCCCCGCAGAGAACAGATGTGGCCAGGCTTCCACGAGGGTCCGGGCTGAGAGCTCTGAAAGGGAAGTGCCCCCGGTGACGGCTGTGGTCATGGCTCCGAGTGCCGTCCTGTGCAGACGGGGACCTCACCCCACACATCACTCAGGCCACAGACCAAATCCCATGTTCTGAACACCATGCCCTGCTGCTCCTGTCAGCCCGCAGAGAGGCACGCCCTGCGGTCCCCACTTTACGGGAGGGACGGAGACTCGGTGAGGCTCACGGCTTGCCCAAGGCCACAGAGCCAGCAGGCGGGAGCAGCCCCGGTCTGCTGATGCCACAGCCTGGGGCCTGTGTCCCCCACCCCGCCTCTCCAAGGTGGTGGATGTGGGTGTCCCTGTCTAGCCAGAGGACAGGCTGGAAGAGCAGCCTGGGCAGAGGAGAAAGGACACTGCCTGTCTGAGCACAGTGGTCAGGACAGTGACAAAGCACAGCTCGCTGTTCCAGGCTCTACACCAGCCTGCCCATCGACGCCCAGGGAAAGCAGCCCTGCCACCCTGCCGGCTTTTAATGCCGCCTGGAAGCTGCTGTCTGGCCTTGGGGCTCTCAGCTGCCAAACCCTTCATCTCTCCCATCAAAGCCCAAAGAAAGGGAAGAGCCCTGGGAGGGCAGCTCAGGGGTGGTGCGGGGATGCAGGCCATGGCCTTGACTTCTGGACCTCCCAGGAGCAGGAGGCCGTCAGAGCCGGAGCCAGAGGGCCGTCGGGGCCGGAGCCAGAGGGCCGACGGGGCGGCAAGTCTACTAGACAGATGCCAGGCCACGGGGACAGAGCAAGGGGCCTGCGGGAGGAGGCCGGGTCTTCAGTGCCTGTCTCTGTGACTCTGGCCAACAGCTGAGCCGCACCTGCAAAGTGGCGAGAAAAGCGTTCTCCTCTTACAAGGTCACAGTGAGGATTAAGTGAAAGAGCCTGGAACCACCCACCAGGGCGCCTGGTGTGTAGGACCAGAGCGGCAGAGAGGCTCGCTTCCCAGAAGGGGTGTGGGTGCAGACGGGGCAAGCTCCCAAGTTCACCGCAGCCTGAGTTCACGACGCTCCTCCTCAGGTCCAGCTAACACAGCCAGCCCACGGGAGGGCCCCAGCCCTGCCCCCGTCCCCGCGCCGGGGGCGAACGGAAGCCGCACTTACTTGAGGATGTCCTTCTTATTGAAGAAGGTGCAGTCCTGCAAAGGGAAAACACACACACAGTCCCTTGCAAGTCCCAGGTTCTTTTCTCCCTCGGGATCTCACGGACTCATACCGCTCCTCCCCACCTGCCCCGCCCCTGGCCAAGAGCCGCTGCTTCCCGAAGCTTCTGTCCTGGCCGGGGGAACTGTGTACATGGTGTTGAGGAGCATTCATGGGCAGATGGAAAGGTCACCAAGGTGCAGACTGCCCAGCTGGACAGCAAGGAGAGGGGCTGGGAGACAAGCTCTGAGCAAGGGCCAGAGGGCCACAGCTGCAGCGGCACGCCATCCTTAGCCTTAGCGCAGAGAGGGGAGTCCGAGGGCCACAGGCTAGGGAAACCCCAGCATCTCCCTGACCTCTGAAGCCACCAGAAGAGCTGAGGTCACACAGGGAGGCTGGGGTGTGGGGCAGTTCGGGCGAGGAGGCAGGCGGGCAGGGAGGGGCTGGTGGCACCTGGGCAGAATCAAGGGCGGAGGCCCCCAGGGACCCTCAGACAGGTGTTTCTCAGGGTGGGGGTAGCACACGGGTCCTAAGGTCTCCTGGTCATAAACTCTGCTCAGCCATCCCCCCCTTGCTCTGGCTGTCCTGCCCCGTGACGCGGTCGGTTACCAGGCCAGGCCACGGTGGGAAGTACAGTGGCGCAGAGATCCCAGCAGCAGAAGGCTCCTGTGCTCACCCCTGCGGTCCGGACCCTCTGCCCTTGCCCGCTGTTGCCCATGGGGGCAGGCGGCCCCTGAGGCTCTGTAGAGCCCGGACACCCCGAGGCAGTAGGTTGTGCAGAGCGGGCCGACGAGGGGCTCGTGGCTGCTGCCCCGGATGGGACCTGAAAGCACCGGAGCAGCTGGACCGCACACTGAGGACAGTCCCACTGGGCACCTCTGGGAGAGCTGAGGAGGGGGAGCGGGCGGGCATCTCCAGGCCACACGTAGTCAGTCTGTCCTTCTGAGCCACACGCTGCTACCCAAGAGTTGGACTAAGAGCCCTCATGCTGTGCTGGCCTTCTAGGAGCTTCTCCTGGAGGGCTAGGCTTTGCTGTAGGCCCTAGCTCGTCTGTCTGCCCCCCACCCCAACAAGCATACAGAGGGAACGCCCTGTCCTGCAGGCCCCAGACACAGGCGGTGACTGTGTGGACAGATTTCCTCAAGCCCCCAGATCTCAGGAGCAGGTCCCAAAGGCCGCCCAGCTGAGTCGTCCAGGTACAGACCCCCGTCAGCCCCAGGGCTGGCTCTGCAGCCTGAAGGTGCCCAGTGAGAAGGGCCAAGGCTCTCCCAACCAGCCTGGTGGGCGTGTCAACATCACCACCCACGGGGAGACGCCCTGGCTTCTGGTCTCTGTGCCCTGGCCTAGCCTCTCTTCCTCTCCTCGCTCCTCCGCCCTGGGCTGAAGAGTATGTGGGTCCTGACCCAGGGCCCTACAGGCAAAGATGCAAAAGTTTCTCACATGATCCTGGTCCCTTATCAAACCACTTACATCTGTCCCCCTCAATGGTCCTCAAGGTATGGTGCCTGGACGGGCAGCACCCGCCTCTCAGGCTCCACTCCAGACCTACTGAGTCACAAACTCGATGGGGGGGAGAGGAATCTGCATTTTTAGATCCTCCAGCTTCAGTGGTGCTGATGCCTGCTAACTCCAGGGCCTCAGCTCTAGAGCAGAGTCAGCTGGGGAGCTGTTTAACCTCCTGTGCCCTCTCCCAGCAGCCCCGCCCTGGCCCCACCACTAGCTCTAGCCCCAGCAGCAGCCCCAGCAGCACCAAGGAACAGAACATTAAAGCAGAATCCCCAGGGCTAGAGCCAGGCATCCGTTTCAAAGCTACTCTGATGCCTGCGTGCACATCCCAGGCTGAGAGCCACACCTCGACCGGGCCTGGTCCGTGGGGCTCCAATTATCCAATTCTGTTCAGTCCTCACCACTAGCCGATGGGGGGCCGGGGGGAGAGGCATTACCTCCCCATTCTATAGATGGGAAGACTGAGGTTCTGGGAAGTTGATGATGTGCTCTCAGCTGTACACGCAGCCCAGAAGGGCTGACTGCAGCTCGGGCCTCTGTGCTTCCCGACCGTGGCCTGCTGCTGGAGGGTCCACCCGGGACCACTGCTGTGCGTGCTGATGCCCTGCGCACCACAGATGCTGGATATGTGCGGACGGGATGAGGAACCAGGCCTCTGCACGTAGCCCTCCCGCTGGCTGCAGAAGGTGTCCGTGAAGACGCGGACCCTGCCTCCCCTAACCGCGCCCGCCTCTGAGCACCAGCACGGCTGCTGTGAAGCCGCACACCCCGACCGTCTGCTGCTGCTCCTGCCGACTTATCTGCCGGAAGCCTGTGGCAGGAAGCAGTCCCCAGGGCTGAATGTGGCAGGAACCTTCCCCAGGGCTGAATGTGGCAGGAACCTTCAAAGCTTCTCAGGGTTCTGAGTAGGCTGGTGGTGTCGCAAAGGAAAGGTTTTGTAGCCACATTCAAGTTCTGGTCTTGCTTTGGATCCTTAGGCGGAGCCAGAGGCGGGTTCCCAGGAGAGTTACAGGACGTGCTCAGGGCCGAAATTGGGGCCAGCTGAGTGCAAGTAGAGAGCCAGGGCGGAGCGGCAGTGCTGGGCTCTGGGGGGCGCAGGGAGCCCTGCTTTGGTGAGGGAGAGGCCTGGGGGAGGGATCGATTGATCAGGAAGGCAGAGAAGTCTGGAGAGAAACCTGAACTTGGGCATCACTGGCACCTGCAGAGGGGGAGGGCGAAGGTGGAAAAGGCTGTAACTGGGGCCCTGGCCGGCGAGGGGCTGCTGGACAGCTGAGGGAGAGGGCTGGGGCTCTCAGGTTTCTGCAGATGGAGAGGGGCGGGTGGGTGGCTGTAACTGGGGCCCTGACTGGCTGGACAGCCGAGGGAGGGGGCTGGGGGCTCTCAGGTCCCCCCGGCTCTCATTTCTCCCAGCCTGCCTGGCTGTGACGGGATCACAACCCAGCCCTGGGCCTGGCTCAGAAGCGTAACCCAATACCTGCCGGTCTGCGCGGAAACCCAGGATCCCAGCCACACCGGGCCACTCTTCACTCCTGGGCACAGTGTACCTACTAATCGCCGGTGACCACGTGGCCCCCTGCCCCTGGAATGCCCCCTGCACAAGTGAGGCACTCGCTGAATCCTGCAAAGCGAAAGCCCCTCTTCCCCGGTGTTCCGCCACCACCAGGGCCCTCCCCAGGAGCTGGCCGCATTCAGGGCCTCTCGGGAGGCTGGGCAGCCTGAAAGACCAAGAGCACACACAGTCCGTGCCCCCAAACAAATGCAGAGAGCCGTGGGCTAGAGCCCTGACTGGTGCCTCAGCCTCTGTTTACTCTTCTGTGAAACGGGGCTGAAAAGCACCCGCTGTGAGGGACCCATTCCAGTGCCCGGTACCAGCAGCTGGGCCATGACTGCGGCTCCCTGCGCTTGCTCAGGGCCTCACGTGCAGCCGACAACCGTCACTGACCGTCGGGGCCTTTGTTTTCCCTCCGCCCACATCACAGGGCTCCCAGGTCCAGCCCACCACCAAACTAACTGCTGGGGAAGGCGGCAGCGGCCTCATGGCTCCCACAGCACAACCAGGGCCCCCTGCCCGGGGGGGGGGGGTAAGAGGCACTGCCTTGGGCCTTGGAGGAGGAAGAACTCGGGCAAAGGGAGGGAGAAAGAGCTGGCGTGTCACTCTGCTGTGCAGAGTCGGGGGTGGCTGAAGTGGGCAGAGCAGGGAAGGGGCCTGGGAGCTGGCCAGGGCCCCCACGGCTCAGGGCTGGGCCTTCCTCCGGAACCCCATTCTGCGCCCGCGTCCTGCGCCCCCGGTGGGAGGGCTCTGGACACCTGGTCTGGACAGTTCCGTGAGTCTGTAGGCAGGAGGTCCTGGAAGGGTCTTAGGGGTGGCTGCTGGGGGCTGGGGACCACGAGATGTGGACTGGTACCGGCCCGCCTTCCTGCAGCAACTACCTCCACGCTGGACCAGCGGGAAGGACCCCTACGGATAAACAAGACGCCCCCAACTCAGAACTGCATTCGCGGGCAGCTGCACCTCACTCCCGACCCGGACAGGACCCCACTCTCCTGGGCTGCTTCCTGGGATGGGGACCCTCCCTCCAGCCCGCGTTTGATGACCCGCCAGCTCCATGCCAAGGTGGGCGCCGGGCAGGCGGCTGGGGCAGGGGTCGCGCCAGGCTGGGGCCCAGAGCAAGGCGGCTGAAGGCGGGCGAGCGCGCCGGCGAGCATCCCCCCACGGGAAAGCGCTCTCAACGCGAGGGTGGGGAAACTGAGGCTCGAGGTCACGGCCCAAGGTCACGCTTGGAGCTGAAGCAGGGGCAGGGTCTCCAGCCCGCACGCGGCGCGGAGAGCAGAGGAGGGCAGGCGCCGGCTCACCTGGTAGTTGTCCAGCTGCTCCTCCGTGAAGATGGTCTGCTTGTTCCCCATGGCGGCCGCCGCACCGTCGCCCGGGCGCCGGAGCCCGAGTTCGCGGCCACCGCGACCCTCCCCGCAGCCCCGCAGCCCCGCGGCCAGCCGGAGGCGGGAGCGCGAGTGCGAGCAGCGCCGAGGGGGCCGGGCGACTCCGCCCCGTCTTGCGGCCGCCGCGCCCACCCCGTCTGGGGCCGCCTCCTCCGGCCGCGGGAGACGCTCTCCGGCCTCTTCCCGCCTCCGGCCGGGCGTGGCCAGGACTTCCGGCCGGGCGTGGCCGGGACTTCCGGCCAGGTGGGGCCGAGACTTCCGGCAAGGCGGGGGGACTTCCGGCCGAGGGAGGCATGACCACCGGCTGGGCGGGGTCAAGGTTTGTGGTGGGCGGGGACGAGACTTCCGGCCAGGAGGGGCCTGGACCACTAGCGGGGCGGGGCCAGGACATCCGACTGGGCGGGGCCGGGCCCGCCCTCCCGGCGAGACGTGGGACTGGAGGCCGCGGGGACCCGGATGTCGGGCCGGGCGGGGCCAAGGCTAAAGACGGGCGGGGCCGGGGCGCCGGGCCGCGGAAGACTCCGTGACGCGGGGATGCGGTGCGGTGGGCCTGGCGCCCATTTACCGGGGCTGGGCGCGCCCGCGAGGCGAGCCCTGCCCTGGGTACTCGCATCCCAGCCTCGCGGCGCGGGGCGGGCCCTCGGGCCCTCGGGGGGTCGGTGAGCCGGAGGCCCGCGCGGCCCGGGGCCACTGCCCGGGCGTGGCCTCTCCGGCCCTCCGGTCTCTTACGCAGGCGGGCAGGGTCCGCTGGTCTGTCTTTGCAGCCCCGGGTGCCCACGTGGGACCGCGGAGGATTTACCGTGTCCGGAGAAGTGGGGCAAAGGCCGGGAAGCTTTCTGGGACGTTTAGCAAATGCCAAAGACCTTAGGCAACAGACTCCCCGCTGAGTCCTTTCAGGGCTCCGGCCCATACCTGTTACTGCTGACCCCAGGGCAGCTGGTGCTGCCGGCGTCACCTGCGGCGCACAGGCGGGGACACGCGCTGAGAGCCCTTCAGTCACTCGCCCGGGCCCCCTCGCCCTGGCCCCACGGCTGGGCGGTAGCAGGACCTGGGCTTGACGCGGGTGCTGACTCGGCCGCTGTTCCGCACCTGGACTTCATGAGCTCAGGACGTTTTGCTTTAAAATAGGTGGTTTGTTCCTTTAACCGCTTGGGAGGCTCCACTCCCAGGGTTGTTCTTTTTTCTTTTTTTTAATTTTATTTATGTATTTGACAGACAGAGATCACAAGTAGGCAGAGAGAGAGAGAGAGAGAGAGGAGGAAGCAGGCTCCCCGCCCAGCAGAGAGCCCGATGTGGGGCTCGATCCCAGGACCCTGAGATCATGACCTGAGCGGAAGGCAGAGGCTTAACCCACTGAGCCACCCAGGCGCCCCTAGGGTTTCTGGTTTAATAGGTCTGGGGCGACCCATAATGTGAGGGTCTAACAAGGTCCCAAGTGATGCTAGTGCTGCTGGCTCCGGACCCCACTTTGAGAATCACTGCTGGAGGTTAGGGGTTCCGATGGGAACAGGGGTCCCTCCCTCTTGGACAGATCATCCCTGGTGTTTTTATGTTTTCCTTTTCTGCAGGAGGTTCCTGTTGGAGTTTCTCAACATTTCGCCACTTTCAGATGAGAACAGCAGCCGTCAGCAAAGCGGACGAGCCGCCCTGTTCAAATCCCAAGAGTCACCAGAGGAATAATCTGTGGCTTTGAGATGGGTGGGAGGACTTCAGAAGCCCAGGGGATTGCTGACCAGTCTTCACCTGTAGTGGGCCGGTGTGAGGGGGGCCCTGGCTGTAGGAAAGGCAATGGGGTATGTGAGCAGCGGTTCAGAGAATGTGGTATTGTAGAGCCGAGAGCCCGTGTGAGAGTCTCCCCCGCGTCAGAGCCGGGGAGACCGCAGCTCTCTCAGAGCAATCGCCGGTGTGGTTTTTCTCCTTGCTCTCGCGTTACACACTGCCCTGCAGCGGCCAGAGTCCTGTCTTTACATTCTGCTCCTACCCTGCGTTCCAGGTAGAGGGGCGAGCACCTCGGCACGGAGGCCTGTGTGTTTAGTTCTGGGATTCTGACCTCGGGAGATCAACAGAAGCAACCCCCTCCCCGCCCCAGGAAAAATTCCCTTCAAACCCTTGTGATCTCTATCCCGCTGCCCTAGAGGAGGCCCTCCCTCCTGAATTCTCCCCATAGTGCCTTGAGGAGGGGCCAGTGACATCCCGGGTTACAGTCACAGGACCCTGGGCTGGAGAGGCACAGTGACCTGCCCGATGCCACCCAGCTAGGAAGGGGTAACAGGAAGCTCTCACCTCATGCTGGGGTTCCAAGCCAAGTGCTTCCACCGCTCCCGTGTGTGTGTGTGTGTGTGTGTGTGTGTGTGTGTGTTTGAAGGGAGGGTGGAGAGAGGGGGACGTAAGAAACATTGGTCACCTACTCTGTGCTGGACGCTGTACATTTGCTGACTATGACTCCATGGACGCCTCCCAAGTCTGCAGAGTTGGCATTATTACCCGTTTCATGTCTCTGAGAAGAGTGGCCAACGGTCACTCTGCTGGTAGTGGCTAGATTTAAATCTTGATCCCACTAAGATGGGAACACGAGGTTTCCACTCCTTAAAGCAGGCCAGCTCCTCATCTCCCGCAGTCTCGTAAACGGTTCCGCACGGGAGGGTGGTGCCGAGAGGTCGTCGAGGAGCCCACCGGAGCGCCGGGCACTCTGCAAGCACTCATCAAACTCGACCTTTCTCGTTTCTGACTCACTCCATGAAGTTTGTTTTAAAATTTGGAAGGAAAACAGGAGGCAGCAATGGTACGAAGCCGAAGCAGTGTTTGATAGGAGGTAAAGGGTCTGAGTGGCCGCAACGAAACGTTCATCTCGTCCCTTCTTTCCCGTCCTTCCTCCTCGACCAGGTGTGACTCTTTGCAATGAAATGTCCTTCCTCTGCAAGCAGTTGCTCTAAGACTTAGGGTCTGAGGGGATCTTAATGGTGGAGATGGAGTGTCCTGAGCCCGAGGCTGGTCGGGACATCTTCTAAAGTGAAGATGTTCCTTGTAGACCGGTCCTTCGTCCTTCGCTGTCCCATCTCTAGTCACTGTTAGCAGCTTCAGGGTCCCTCCGGGGATGCCCTGCCTTCTCTGACTCTTCTCTACCTCACGGGCTATCCGAACCTCATTCCTTCCCGAAGTCTTGTCGCAGGGCACTGGTCATCTTGGCCTCTCCCCGAAGAGCTGTGTGTCATCTGTGAGCAGCTACTGGGTCCACCTCAATCCCTCACACGTGCCCTGCAACTGCCCATTACCTCTCCATCCCGAGCACTGGACAGTCTGTCTGCTCACTTCTCGTCATCTCCAGCGTTTGACACACACATCTTTGTACTTGTGGGTGAAGGAATACGGTCTGGGGCTGTATTTCCCTTCCAACGCTAGGGCTCAGGAGGGCAACACCACATCCTATGGGGCTCTATCCCCAGGGTCTGGGGCAAGGTCTTAGTGAACACTGAATCCACATTCTTTAAAAGAATCCATTTCCTGGAGTCGTTCACACATTCAGTCAAGTCACTGCTCCTGGAGGGTCCAGTGACCAAGGCCTTCGGTACAGAGCAAGCAAGATGAGCTCGCTTTCTCCATGCATGGCCCCTGTGGTCCTGCTCCGGACCCTCTGCCAGAAGCCATTCTGGATGTGGACTATTCCTGGGTGGCCTAGAATGGGCCCAAGCCAATGGTGACCGTCCTGTTATTGAGGGAGGAGGGTCAGCCTCCCCTGCAAACTGTCCCATCCCTCCTTTCAGGTGCTTTTAAAATCCTCAGAGGCGTGACCCCCTGCTTCCCTCGCCCCATATTCTCCTGTCAGCAGAGTCCCACTGCCGCGAGCTCTGGGTCCCCATCGCTTTGGTCCCAGCCCCCTCACCTCTCCTGGAGCACTATAGGATGCCTGTCATAAAATGACCCAGGCAGGTTCTTCACCACTGGGCTCAGCTTTGCTGCAGATCTGTGTCATCTCCAGCGGGGAGCGCCCAAATCTTGCCATGGGGAGGGGCGCGAGGCCGCACAAGCAGGCTGCATGGCGGGGCCGCAGACCCTCCCTCATTGGCAAGGAGACCCCCCCCAGTCACAGACGTGCTCTGTGAGCACACGGAGGGCTAAAGAGCGTGCTTTCAGGTGTTGCCACAGGTTTCCTTGTTCAAGGATTTAGTCCAAAGCAGCAGCAACAATATTTGAGGAACGAGATGCAGACAGCTTCCAGTTCAGGACCAGATGACGGTGTCCTCACTCAGCAGTGTGAACCTGAGGCCAGACAGACATCTAAGACCCGGATCCCATTGAGCCTCGTGTTCTGAGTGAGAGCAGAAGCTCTTGGCCAGCACCTTGCAGACGGGAACCCCGCCGTCTGAGCGTCTGAGTGCTCACCAGCGGATCCTCCACCGCCTGGATGCTCTCGGAGTGTGGGCTTCTGGGGGAAGTCCCCGTGCCCTAGCAGCCCTTCTCCAAGCACGGTCCCTGGGACCTTCTTGGAGGGTCTGTGAGGTCTGCGGTGTTATCATCTCTGCTACAGAAAACATAAGTCGATGTTCACACCCTCATCTTCTCACGGGTGCAGGGGGGGCTTTCCAGGACTCAGCTCTATGACAGCAGGTACACAGACGCAGCTGGCAGGACAGTCTAGTGGTCTGCCAGCAGATTAAGCCACCATTTAAAGACGTCTGCAAACATGTGGAACGATGCCACTCTTCTCACTAAATGTTTATTGTCTTCGAAAATACTCTTTTTCATAAAAATGCTTGAGCTAAGATAACATATAGTGGGGTTCTTGTTATAGTTATTTAAAACACACTTGAAGGGGGCACCTGGGTGGCTCAGTGGGTTAAAGCCTCTGCCTTCAGCTCAGGTCATGATCTCAAGGTCCTGGGATCGAGTCCCGTGTCGGGCTCTCTGCTCGGTGGGGAGACTGCTTCCCCCTCGCTCTGCCTGCCTTTCTGCCTATTTGTGATCTCTCTCTCTCTCTGTGAAATAAATAAAATTTTAATAAAATTTATTTAAAAAAAAAACACACTTGAGGGATGCCTGGGTGGCTCAGTGGCTGGCTCTGTCAAATAAATAAATAAAATCTTAAAACACACGCACACACACACACACGAATACAGCCGTAGGGGTCATTTGCTATTTTAACTTAGGTTAAATATTAATAATCTATATTAACA